ACTTCAAACAAGGCAAGTCGGTCTTGCAGTTGAGGATGGAGATTGTGTAAAATTTGTTCAAGACGGTTTTGTTCTGGAACACTGGTTGCTAGTCTTGCATACAGTCCCTCCATACAAGCAATGAACAAATCAATTGATTCATTCTCCCCTTGAGTTCGGTTGAATATTTCCTGTTGCAGTCTTACATCATGGTCTGTTGATTGGAAAACAATCCTCATCTCTGCACAAAGCGATTCCCAAGAATTAATCCTTCCTATTGTTGACCTATACCAAACCAGTGCGGGTCCAGCAAAAAGATCGACAGCTGAGTCGAAAAGTTCCTGATGGCTAACTCCTCTAGCTCTTCTAAGTTCCTCTACTCGCTGAAGGAATGCTGCTACACTCTGTTCTTGTTCATTATTGAAGCGAAGTCCCCACTTGTAGACTGGAACGGATTTTGTTTTGTTCTGAGATGATGAATATGAAGGCTTTGTTGTCTGGTGTGAAGTTTGAGGATTGTCATTACCAGGCACAGAAGTATGTACAGTAGGTCTAACGGGTTTAGTTGAATTCTCTAAGTTCAGTGCTGTAGAAGCCCCAGCAACACCAATAGCCTTGACAGCAGTACGATGTCCACCTTCCTCAACATTCATTGCAGTATCCTCTTTCTTCGTTGTTACCATGGAGACACTTTCTTCCTTCTCACTATCTTCCTCTTCACTAGATGGATCAACATTTGATTTATCTTCTTTACTCGTGACTAAGTCAAGTAATTTCTTACTTTTTGCCAATAATTCTACAAGTTTATCCTCAAATTCCTCCTTATTAGTCTCATTTAAGGGAATTCTATCAATGCGTTGAGTAAGATGTCCCAGTCGGGCAATAAGTCGTTGACCTTCGCTATCTTTCCCATTTCCATCATACTCATCAACTAATGAGTAGAGATCAGAATATTTTTCCTCACATTCTTCAAGTTCTGTTTCAGGATCCAGCTTTAGTACAACAGCCTCATCCACTTTAATATTATTTGAGAAACAATGTGTTAATTGCTTCCTTAATTCATTAGCCGTTCCATCAGTACGTAGTCCCCTTATCTTTAACTCATACTGAATTTCAGTTTTGCGTAACCGATGAGAATTCATTTTTTTCCTTTAAATCAAATAACCAAGTAAACCAGCAAAAGACATACAACAATTAATAACTCTTCAGTAGACAATGGTAACAAAATCAGCATAAAATCATTAAAGTAGCATAATGTCCAAAACACACAAGTTGTATAAGTGCTAAATATATATATATTTTTTTCAAAGACCAAATAATACAAACAAGATCCACAAATATTTGGATGTGAATCAATCCAAACAATTTGCCAGCAACACCTCTATAAACAATGTATAGGTATATATTTTTCTTTATTTATTTATTTTTTTTTTATTATTTTGTTTTTATTTTTTTTTTTTTTTCCTATGTATTGTTATGCCAAATTTCTTTGCCCCACGTTGGCCGGCGCCATTGCGACGATTTTTACCCGCTAACTCAGTGATGGGAGTGGTCCTGCAATTTTTAATAGTCAATCTAGGCCTACTATTCCTCTTGGTCAAAGTTTGAGGGCGCCACCTCGCTAAAGGAGAAGTCCTGGAGTCGAAGCGAGGGTCAAACTCCACTCTTGAGTTGTTGAACCCGTAGCTGATATTCAGGGAATATTTGATAATTTAAATTGAACCTCGACCATTCAAAATAGAAGACAAAAATTTGCATAAATCTAACACCATCTAATAACTATTGCAGTATAGTCAAATTTCTAATCTTAATAAACTCTGTATTGATTTGTGAAAATTGATAAAAAGTTGAATTATATTTTCTAAGAATGTAAATGAACCAACTGTCTAGATCATAGGTAACTAAATAAATAACACTGAATGAATAAACCAGGAATGTATTATCAGAGATAAGTATTTCAGTTGATATAGCAAGATAACAAAGGGACTGTCCAACAACAGTAGTTATTCCACAAGATAATATTTGTTATCTGACCCGAGAATTATTCAAGTTTAAGGATTGATTCACTTTCAGATATAAATGTAAAAATTATTAATACAAACTAACGATTAATTATTTTGATTGCAATATTCAACTGATAAATCAAGAACAAGTATAATAATATAATTCAATAAATTCGGTGGCCACCAGCTAAGAATCAAAATCACATAAGAACATTTACATACACTATGACATATAAAACAATATAATACCCAACAAATATAACAATACTTAAGCTAAACAAAATTACAGCTAGATATTCTGGCAAAATCAGGTGGAGTCCTGTCCAGGTGTAGGTAGATCTCACACTCACTGTCTGTGTTATTGATGCTATCAAAATTCACTAGTACTAGTGCAAAGTCACTGCAAAATTAAGCATTCAACCAAGAACTAAGTGTCCGAGATCCTCAATGATGTAGGTTTGCAGCAGTTATGTTGGTCTCATAGTAAGATAAATATCGTACAAATTGGAAAATTCTTACTTTTGGTACGAATGTGTCGACCCACGATAGTCCATAGGCTAAGGCACACACGAGGTCCTTCAACAATGTAGATCCTCGGCAGGTTGAGACGATAGTCGATACAGCGATAGTAGGCTAGGTAGGACGAGACACCAGGAAGTCCAGGTCCAGGTCCAGAATCCAGCGATAGCGGTAGCGGTAAAACCCTAGGATATTCCAAAAGAATGTAACATATTCTTAAACTTATGTTAACACAAATATATTTATTTAACAATCTTTGATTCAGAATTTTATACTTTAAATATTTGTTTCAAGTTAAAATATGTTTTCAGATATGCAATCACTAAATACAAAAAGGACAGGCCTAATTTTTGAACATTAATTATAGAGAGAAAAGTATTTGTTTTAGTTACAGCAATAATAATGAACAATTAGAACAACACAGTGAACATTAAGACAATAAAGGCAACAGATAATATTTTGAGTTAGTAGACAATGATTAAAATAGTAATTCTTAGCAATAAACAATTAATAGTCTACTTGAAATTGGAGTATTTTAATGAAGGACAAATTTTAACATTTGGCTGTCTTTACAAATTTGAGAAATACTACTTTACCAGACATTAATTTACTCTGAACAGCTTGACACTATAGAACACAAAAATATTTAATAATTACAAACACATGGGAATCTACATTTTTCCTAAATCTAGTTATCCTGAAATTTCCTGAACTTTTGCAGGTTAAAACAACTTTTAGCTTTGCAATCATCAAAAGTAATATTGTCACACTAATATTTACCATGATTATTTTGATGAAAATTAGTACACTTGAATTACAACAAATTATTTTATATATACAGCAACTTTAAAATGTACAATGATAAATAAATAAAATTTAGTTAAGCTCTGAAAACATGTGACTACTAGGCTTGAAAACTTCCATTTCCTTTAATTTAACTAAATGAACTAGAAAATATTAACCTAACAACATATTACACATTTTTAGCAATAATCTATTTTGATTGGTTGAGGTTTTTAATATTTCATTTATTTAAATTTGTTTGCAATGAAAATGATTCGAACTCTTACCTTAATTAATCCAGAAACCTGAAGGGTGAATAAATTGCTAAAGCTTCCAAGACTGCCAGAACAAGACAAACCTAAACCCCAGTCCACCTGATATCAGCTAACAGGATGATGCAGGCACTGATGAGTCATCCAAACAGCTGATGGTCGCTTTCACTTGAACTTGCTAAGCTGGGCTTGTATTGGGATTTTGTGGTTCCTTCAATTTCAGTAGGCAAAAGGTGAACACTACTGCACTGTATTGGGTTTCAAGCAGACTGTAGGCTAGCACTACAGCTGAATAAATTCTTGGGATACATGAGGGGGCCAACCTCTGTATTATTTGAAAGTAGCAATAAAATTGCGAATGTTACAAACCATAGCTAGGAATCTGGCTGATAATTTACATCAATATCACTACCTACTTCTTCAGGATCATCAAACAGCCCTTCAAAATCACTTAAACCTTCTTATAATGCACCACGTATATCACTACTTTTGATTTTTAACACTAAAACAATGATAAACGTAATAAAACACATCAGTCATCGGTCCGAGGGTAACCTAGCTGTTTACAAATACGCACGTCAGCTGTCTGCTACAATTACGATCGGCTCGGAGAACATAAAGCGCTTAGAGACAGACCTCTGGAGAAAGCTTAGAATCTAACGAACCCCCTAACTCGATCCAGTTCAATCCGATTCAGTCAGTCATAGAGCCTTCGCCGTAAACTATGTTCGTGCGTCGAAAAATTGACACGTGACACTACACAAAGTGTGTCGTGAGTCGATTTTTCGACGAGTGACGCTCGGAGGGTTAAACAAAAATGAGAGATATAAAAGATTTGAAATGTTAAATTTATTGAAATAAAATAGTTTAAAAGTTAATTGAAATTAAATATGACGTCATAAAGCACACAAAGGTAGCAAAGCAAGGGGCGTTCACAGTAACGTGGGTCAGTACCGACCCAGCCGCCTCGGCCGGAGCGAGACGCGGGAACCATCTCAACGGTGAATAAAGCAAGTCACACACTACACGCTAACGTGGTATAGGTTCACCTTCGACTGACGCTAGGCTCGCACTGAGCAACAGATTGATGCACTGCAGTGTGGGTTAGTACTGACCCGGCTGCGTGAGCGATACGATCGCCATGGGTCAGTACTGACCCACTCGCAGCGAACGTGTTAACTGGAATTAATAAATTAGGCCTACGCTAATATCGATTAAAACTATCGATTGAAAATATTGATTAATAATCAATATTTTATATAGCCTACCGGTACCTATATCAGTTATAAAATGAAATTGTCATTAACCTAACCTAACTTAACTAACCAAACTTGCGGATAATGAAAAAATCTAATGAATGAAGGTTACTAATCGAAACGATAGTCGATATTAGTGGATCCCAGCTAAGAAAATGTACCAAGGAAATCTAAACAGTGATAAATACCTGTAAGCTTATGAATTCCTGGTGTTTCTCTTTGAAGTCATTATTAAACATTGCATGAAAATATGGACTGTGTAGAGCTAATAACTCTCTACTGCATGAAAACTCTGTGTCCTTAACTTTCAAAGTCACCTCGGTAGGAATATTATCTTCCATTATCAAGAAACAATCACAGCAACCAAAGATAACAATAAGTACTTAAGTTTTGTAAACCACGTTCAGCATTTTAATCAGGATCAATTAATTGCCAACAATTTTACAGAGTTAAAGAGTGCAACCTTTAACCTCAAAAACATGGTAGACAGTAGAGAAGAGATAGCGAGATAGCTTTTAGCTGTCACCACTCACCAGCTGTTGCCTAAACATGGCGGCTGGCGACACGCATCTTTGATCTTTGACATTCTCCTGCTACCTCCGGTTAGAATCAGTTCGGCTGCACTTTACTTGACGTCCTACACTCATTCGATTGTTTTTTTCGATTCGATATTTTCATTCGATTTTTTCATTCGATATATCGTTTGGTTAGTTAGGTTAGGTTAACCTTACCTAACTAACCAAACGATATATCGAACGAAGCAATCGATTAATCGATATATCGATCGATATTTTCATTCGAATGAGTGTAGGACGTCAAGTAAAGTGCAGCCTATAGTTCAGTGGGTATAACATTTTTTCATACTCACAACTAACTATACAAAGAAGAAGAAGACGAAGCACCTGACCGGTGACCATTTTATCACCCCCACAGTGTTGACAAGATATCGGTTCAATATCGTTTGTAGTCATATCGACCATCACTTGCTATCGATTATCGATTAAAACATACTTAGTTAGAAGGACTTAATTTTAAAATAAACAAAAATTATGAACTATTAATATTTAATTTAACACTAACGCCGGAATGTTAGTCTGCCTTTTATCCCAATTAACTTATATTTACATAAATAACGCGTCGTGGGTATACCTAACCTTTTAAAATAATGATTTGACAACTATAAGAATCTTTTGACCTTAATATTAAACACCAAGTAGGAAAACAAAACACGGGCGGGGTAGTTTGATTCGAAACTCAAGAGAAGGAACTATTTGAGTGTGTTGTACCAGTCCTCTTTTACACATTTACCCACAAGCTAGCCAAAAGCTAAAATACGGCTCCGTGTTTAGCCCGGACGTGTTTGACACGACACCCTCAAAATGGTGGTTCGCGCGGATGGACGCTTTAGAAATCCCCGCGCCAAGGCCGGGTGGGTAATTCGGCACCTTTCGCCCCCATTATCGAGTAAGGACACTCGGTGGCGTTTCCCTCACAACACAGGGATTTATAATTATCGTAACCAGAACTGGCCCGTAGCTACCAATGGGAGGAAAAACTTTTATTTATTATTAATTCCATTCGGATATCAAAAATGAAACATTATTATTATAAGACCTGTATAATTGCAAGCACGTTGCAATGTGCAACGGAATCTATACTTTTATAAATTAAAAATTGGTTCTAGTAATCACTTTTAAATTTAACAATAAAATTTAAAAAATTGAAAGTAAAGCCTTTAAATTTTAGTATTACATCAAATATTGCACATGCTTATGAACAATGAACCTGAGCAAGTTCCATAACAATTTACTTGATAATGATTACTTAGGTGTCTATTTTAAAATCAAAATTTAAACTTCACTTTTAGTCCTCTGAACCACGGATGGGAATAAGACTGTTTCATGATTCTCAGCCTGTATTTTATATACTGCTTTACTGCGGTTCCGGATTCTTTTAATTATGACACATCTATATAATGTATATTAACTAGGTGGCGTTTGCAGAGGCATTTACAAAATTGAGCGGAGTCATCAGGGTGTTATTGACCTTCACCATTGAGCTTCATAATTATTTTTACCAACAATTTTAAGTGAAGGAAGAGAACGTTTGTGTAAAGATAGGTATTGGTCATTGGTGTAATTAGATACACGTTGTTCGTAATGAAGGGCAGTAAAAAACACAGATACCTATGTAATTTTAGACATTTTTGGAGACCTGAATTTACATGTTAATTAAAAACCCTCAGGATTGGTCATGAACTTATTCTAAAACAGAGCGGTACAGTTCTAGCTAGCTATAACCTAGAAATAAATCCTTAACAGTTTCGGATTCCACCATTTTGGCTACTAAATTAATTACTGCATAAGAGGACATGATGGTGAGTATATCAGCGAAACCACGAAATATATACGAAAAATATCGTTAAAAAAGTTATATTGACATTCACATTTGCATTGATTCAAGCGTTTAAACCATAACCCATGTGTTCCACGTTAATAATTGTATAAGCAATCGGAACTGTGCTATAATGCCGTTATTTTAAATACAAAATTAATGTAGGTTAAGATAAGGTTTCCATCATAAATATGACATATTTAAGTAAATAAAATATATATGTTGATCTTTAGCTTATGTTCTTTATAATATGTTGTGTTATGTTTATAATATGTTGTTTATAATATGTTCTAAAAATGTTTCAATAATTGTTGCGGCACGTGATGCGCCAATGTTTTGGTAATAAAACAAACTAACACTTTCAACTAAACTATGATTTTATTGATGTAGATAAGATATAAACAAATTATATCAGTGGACTGTATAGTGAAACTGTAATAAATTAATTTCTATAACGAAACTACTAAAAAATGTGGATTAAGAGTCATAATTTAAGACTATTGTCGGGACCACGTAAGTTTGCAGTTGAGGGAGGAGCCTATGTACCATATGATTTTGAATTAACCAATGAGAACCGTGCAGTGTTGCCAAATCTAATATGCCAGCTGATTTGAAAATATTGCTTAGTATATTTTAATTAGTGTTGTCAACGGGCGATGTGGCAACGTCGCACTAGCCTTGTCTTGTGATTGGCTGCCACCAACTGCAAACGTGGTCCCGACAGTAATGAAATACGTGAGATGCTGAAAGAAAACAATGCTACTCGGCTGACACGACAGTCAGTAGGCAACTGATCACATAGACCACAGACCACTCTTAACCCACAGTCCTCCTAGCCTAGATAGAAAAGGAGTTTTTGTGACCGTATTTGTTCTTTATGCAGAAGGACGGTCTCAACTGCTTTGTTAAGAGCCGACTAATTGCCCTAGCAGAACGAATGAGTGGTTTATGCGATCGTAAACAACTCTAGATGTTTGACAATATTTGAAATTTAGAAACGTAACTATCTCCTAATAGCATAAATATAAAGATACCCAACAGATTAATTATAAATACACTCTCCCCAACAATGATTGTTTCAAGCAAAAAATACTCATAAATAAAAAAAATGAATGAACAGTATACAAGTATTTGACAAAAATCGTTTACGCCATCTTTAATTTTGGACTTCAGAGACTCCGATTTCTTTTCACCGTTTCACTAGTAAATGCACACAATTCTTAGTCAAAATAACCAATCTTTAATTAAGCAATTTTCTTAGAGTTGTCTTACGGATTTACTCGACTATATTCAAATCTTTGAATTATGTTTCAATTGTTTACTTATTAGTTCAGTATATTTCGAATACACAGAAATTGATGTTGATGACTAATGCTGTGAAGATACTGCTGTGAAGAAGAATGCTGTGAAGATACATAAGAACCAAAAATCTATGTAAATAATACCCCCGCCGCAACAAACCTGCAGACTTTCCAGAATTTCCATTTACCGAGGTGGATTTTTACTAAAATATTCATAAAAAATTGTAAGCTCTACAAAATGGCTTGGAGGGAAATTATAAAACTTTGTGTTTTTAGGGTCAAACATAGGAAAAATCAATTTTCACCCCGTAAAACACCCTATCAAAACGAAAAAGTAAATCGGTCCTGGATCTAGTCTTACCATGAGACCTACTGTAATTGCTATATGGAATATATGGGAAATTCGCTAAAATTAGAGTTTTGTCTGTACATGGCTCAGAATGATAAATGTTTCGGTTAGTTTCATCGTATGGAACGAGTCATACGATAGGAAAGCAGAAACTCAATTTCTGCCTGTCTGTCTGTGACGCACAAGATGTTATTTTACGCTCTCTTCGACAGGAAAACGAACAAACAGATCACGATGAAACTATTTTGATGTATTCTCTACAAGCTTGAGAAGGCTTTTAATTACTTGAAACGTGCCTATGTCCATTGGGAATAAAAAAAATACGAACACTCAAAACCCCAGTTTTGCGCGTAAGGCTCATTTTGTTCTAGGTGAAACCATTGACTAACCAACCACTAGTAGACTTATTATCCCATTGTAAATTTTGAAGCTCGTCTTTCGTGTCTAGTTCATGTTCGGCGACACTGCGTGCGTTAGTGTCGACGGATTTTTTTTATTATTTTAGGGTTAATTTAAGGATTTGTGCTTTACTGTTTGGTTATGCACCGGCTTCAGCTGTTCCATACGGGATGAGAAATCTACTAGGGGAGTATGTTTTATCTATGGCTTTACTTTAATCAAGTCAAGTGATCTATAAATTAAATAATACTAGTGGTCGTCCGGTGGTCGAAAACTCGACCAAAACATGTAATGTACACCGTATTCACTATTGGGTACTGAAGTAAACATCCCATCTATATGGACCAGCTGTCGCCATTTTTTAACTAAGAAAACATGTAGATGTGTGAGCCAATCACCGAATGTTTGTCATAAATTCTATTTTCTACCTTATTTTTGGTTGGATTCCACAGCATTTTAGAGTTTCATGATTTGTCTAACCCTTCTAAAATGTTAACATTTAAAATTTGGACGTCCACTGGGAGTACCAGAGGTGAATAGGCCTACATGTTACTGTAATTGGGTTATTAGAAATCTACTACTTTCTTCAAGGCTTACCTTAATTCATCTAACTGCAATGAGTTGGGTGAAATATACATATTTTGAGCATTTAGCATTGTTTAAAGAGTAATAAGTGTAACAACAATAATGATATTAATTGCGTTAGTTGCCAAATTTGGTTGTTCATTCAATGAATAACATATTCCCTATACCGTACGTCATCGGTGTTGAACTTTTAAACAGTATTAAAATCGTATTGGTGGATCTTTTGTAGTTAAACACTTCCGTGATTTGTAACATGGTTTTATTTCAAAAGAAAATAATGTTTGGGAAGACATATTCTAACTTCAAAGGGGTATATCCGTTACAGTGTAAGTTTGATTTTTCCTTCGTCACGTCGCGTCAGTTCATATCGTACTTCTGTGCTAATGAATGAACCCCTCTAGCATATTTTTGAGAAATTGATTGTGGGTTACTGCTGGAATTCCTTGACATGGGGGATGTCAGTTAGTTGTCTCAGCCTTATCCATAAAGTTGTCAATA